GGCGGGATACCGGGGTAGGTGGACCCGGGGGGTACCTCTGGCGGAACTCCTGGAAGATGATGCGGTTGGGGAAGCCCTGGCGGCAGATGCGGATGCCCTCCAGCACTCCGTTGCAGCGCAGCTGGTCCAGCACCAGGTGGGGCTCCAGCTTCCCAGCCTGTGGGAGGGAGCGTCAGAGCCCAGGGAAGGGTGGGGGGGCACTCGTGCGGCGCACCAGGGCTGGCACGCCAGAGCTCCCGGCCTCTCGCACCCACACACTGCCCCTCCACCGCCCAGGGGCACCGCGCCAACGCAGGCTGCAGCCGTGCACACCAACCAGGGCAGCTGCCCGACCGCCCGAGTCTGCTCGTTTGCATGCCCGCCCCAGGCTGGCACTACACGTCCTCGGCCATGCTCATGCTCGCTGGCCCTTGTCCCTTCACACTTCCACACACACCCACGGCACGCTCGTGCCAGCCCTGCAGAAGCCCCTTCGCCAGCCCACTCTCGCACGCCTTCCCTTGTGCACAACGGCTGACACCGGCTCTCACGGGGACACATGCTCCTTCATTTGTGTGTGTGTGCACGTGAGGAAACATGGGGAGTGGTGCACGCCCAGCAAGGGCACGAGCACCTTCATATGTGTTCACACTCGCTCGCTCTCACTGCAACACACGCTTCCTCGGAGGCTGATGGTGCTTGCACAGTTTTGCACTCACACATCATATCACACAGCAGTTCACACTTCTCCCCATGTTGAAAGCACTTGCACAATTTTTGCACACTCAATTGCTTTTGCACAGCCGTTCACAATTCCATGTATGAACAATGGTACCTGCACTGTTTTGCACACTCATTCTCACCTGGCTGGTCACACTTCCACATACGCTGATGGTGTTCACAACGCTTTGCACACGCTTGCTCTTGCATGGCAAGTCACACTGCCCAGCATGGACAAAGTCACAGAGGTTCACATTTCCCTGCACACATAATGGCACTTGCACAATTTTGCACGCACGCTTGTTCTTGCACAGCCATTCAGCCTCCCCTGCAGGGATACTAGAGCTCACCCAGTTTTGCACACTTGCTCTCACGTGACGGTTCACACTTCCCCACATGCTGACGGTGCTTGCATGGTTTTGCACACTCACACTCGATCTTGCATGGTAGTTTTCACTGCTGCACATGAGCAACACCACTTTTGCACACTCACATTGGGGCTCTCACCACAGTTCACATTTCCTCACAGGCACAACGGCGACTGCATGATTTTGTGATCACTGTCACACAGCCAGTCACACTCCGTGCATGAAATTGGCACTCAAAATTTTTCACACTCACACCCGCATGGCCATTCACATGCCCCTGCATGAACAATGACACACTGTTTTGCACACACACACTTGCTCTTCCATGGCAGGTCACACTGCCCTCTATGAACGATGCCACATGTGCACACTCACATTCGCTCTCGCACAGTGGTTTACATTTCCCCACACACACTATGACACTTGCACAATTGTGTGCTCACACTTGCTCTCACACGGCCATTCAGTCTCACCTGCATGGACAACGGTGCTCACCCAGCTTTGCACACACACAGATCGCACTCTCACATTCAGTTCACACGTCCCCATGCGCTGACTGCTCTTGCACGGTTTTGCACACTCGCCGTCACACCGCCAGTCACACTTCCCCACATGCACAATGGCCCTTGCACGATTGTGCACATTCCCACTCACTCTCGCACGGCCATTCCCACTCCCCTGCACGAACAATGCCGCTCCCCCAGCTTTGCACCCTCCCCCTTGCTCTTGCACGGCGGGTCCCCTGCCCCCGCTTGCCCGATTCGGCCCCCTTGCTCCCACTGCCGTTCCCGCTTCCCCACGAGTGCCACGCCCCACCCTGGCGGGGCAACTGGCCCTTCCCCTTGTGCCCCCTCGCACGCCCGGCTGGCACCAGGGCCCGATCGCTCACCCGCTTCTCGTGGTTGGGGATGATACAGCGCACGAAGTTGGGGTTGGTGTTGCGCAAGGTGGCCATGAGCTTGGCCAGCGACTCCTTGTAGAGCTGGCCCACGGTGCGGAACATCCCCTTCTTGGTCTTGTAAGAGGCCCCGAAAGCCACGTCCCCCATGCTGCTCACCTGGTCCAGGCCCACGATCCGGTCCACTGCGGGCGAGGGGGCGGGGTCAGCCGGGAGCCCCCTCCCATCCCCGGAGCCCCCGCCCGGAGAGCTGGGGCTGGGGTAGTGGGAACCGCCCCCCACAGCCCCACAGTGCCCCCTGCTGGGAGAGGTGGGCCTGGGGTGGGGGGGAACCCCCCCCCCACAGCCAGCACCCCATAGTGCCCCCTGCTGGGAGAGGTGGGGCTGGGCTAGCGGGGAGCCCCCCCCCC